TATATATATGCAATTTAAACAAACAAATAAACAACATTAAGCTCTAAACACATGTACTGGTATTAAACAGAACAAAAGAAACCACCAAACCATGCTATGAGACCAATCCAAAGACTCTAAAGATTTTCTCTATTTCAGTATTGTTGCCAACATCCATCCATTCCAAGTTTTGTTATAGCCTACTGATGGATAAAGGTGAGCAGAAGATGAGGTAGGATTTGTGCAATGCATCACAAATATTTCAGTACTTGCCTTTCGCTTAAATCACTGTTCCTGGACAGAGAGACACAAATTTTATCTTTCCTTGGAAAGTACCTAGCCCTTACTACTGCAGAAAAAAATACTGAGAAATTCCTGAGAATTTCTGATTTTGTATTCTTGAGAATATGCATCTGAGATTCAGATCAGTATGAAAAATAACACAGAATGCATTTGATGATTTACAAAGTTGTAAACAGTAGAAAGGAAAAACATAACTCCTGCTACAATCTATTTCCAATATAGCATCCAGACATTCACTATCCAGAAAAAGTACTGTGCCTGCACATGTGTAAAGTGCAGTAAATCTGTGTATGTAGTTATAATCCGGTCTCAAAATCTAAACCAAACCTGAACTAGTCACACCTGGGGCCAATGATTATTTCCATCAGTGAATGAAGATTTTTGCTATTAATCAACCTATGCAACAGACCTTGATTACTGTTCTCCTGCAAGCTCTCCACCATAAGATGGAGTAAGATTGACAGTATCAAACTTCTCCAGTCAACAAAACAGATGAAACACTAGAGTTGAAAACCGAACAGGAGTATTTTGTAGAGACTCCAAGTGCTGAAGTCAGAAAGCCTCTCTATTCAGAAGGAGAATTTTTCCTTTGCTGAATGCTGCCTTGGATAGCTGGTTAATTTAACTCTCTGTAAAAGCATTACACATTCTAATATGTATCATATGTAATAATATTAGAGCACTGTATATTCTAGCTAGAACTGCTTCTTATTCAGAAGCAGTTTTTAACAGAATTTTCCTTTCCTGCCCTCTTACTGTAGGTGATAGGACAGTTCTGGAAAGTTATCGCTGTGACTAATAGAGGATTTTGTTCAGATGAAATTTGTTCAGGATTTATTAACATATCAGCACTATAACAAAAAAGTACAGTATGGAGGTATGCTTTTGTTACTCTGTTTAGCTACATCAGTCACTTTGTTTCTCCACAAATGTGTATCTCTTTTGAAAGGGAAATCTGGTTGTTATCATCACAAAAGACCCATGCACTTGCTGTTAATGCTAACTTATGTCTCTTGGACATTAAATCACTATGTATGAGAAGGCAGACATTTAAAAGGTATATAGTAGGCTACAGAGTTTCACTTTTTTCTAAATATTAAATAGACAATTAATCTCCTTCTGTTTAGCAAAGCCCAAGGAAAAATATCAGACAATTTGAAAATTCACTGAAATGCAATAATCTCAGAATAGTAGCAATAGAAATCCTTATGAAATCTTAAGGGGGATACTGAGGTTACTACTTTAAAACCAATTAAGCAGGGACACTGCACGAACAGTATAACCTGCTCTGAGAAATTCCTGCAGAGTAGAGACTGCCTTGCTGTTGCCATCTTTTCAAGAACGTCAGCATGCTCCAGTGAATAGTAACTTTCAGTGTTGTGTTTAAGTTGAGGTTTATTATTATTGCTGAGTTTTAACTTTCAAAAAGTTCTCTTTAAAGGTTCTGCAGAGAAGGTCAAGTAACTCCTGCTTGGTGCTCTCTCAAAGAGCACTGTAATATTAAGACACTTTGCATTTTTGTAAGAACACACGTAACATGGAATTATCTAGTGATTTAAGGCTTGAGAAAGCAACTGGCATAAAATACTTACCTGTGGCTGGAGTTCTCTTTTATTTCTGCCCATTCTTTGAAAAAGTTCTCATGTAAATCCCAGTCAGAATCCCATGTATCTTCTAGCATTGCTACGCTGTGCTGGACTTTAGATTCTGCTTTAAGAAATAACGTGTTTTTTAAACTCTTCATGTAAAAATCATTGCTTAAGGAGAAAACTTTTTAAAATTACGATTTTCATTATGAAGTTGAATGTTACTTACGTTTAGATAGAAAAGGCAATCCTACATAACAATGATCTCCACATTGTAAACCAGGATCAAAATAAATATTTGCAATCTGCAAAACAGGTAAGAGCAGATCAGTTATGACACAGCACAGTAAATCTAATGACTGAAGAAAAAAAGATTTCTGAGGACCACAGAAACTTAACATATACTATATACAAGAGAACTTGTAAATATGTAGAAATAAGGCAAAAAACAAACCTTCGATTTTTTTCCTGGCTCTAAATCATCTTTATTACTTCTTAGCCTCTTATAATAAAACCTTACATCTTCTGACAGGGAACGTATGTGTTGTATTTTCACTTTCTGAGAAAAGGAGTTCATAATGTTCAGGCTCTGGTGAACTACTTTCCCCTAAAGAAAAGAAAGGATTAAAAAAGTCTGCAAGATATGCACTTTCCCCAGCATATGTATGTATTTATGCAAGCTGGCAAAGGCCACAGCAGAGTTGAAACTTTAAACTGAGATTTTTAACTATGCTATCTGAAGAAAAATGCCACTTAAAACACTTCAAGGTAAGTTCTATGCCTTCCTCCATCTGCTTTCAAACACAGTCCACCTCTTGTTCAGAATTAAGTACACCTTAAGTGTCTTGAAGAGCTAGGACAACAGTTCTGCTTAATCAAATCATGTTTAAAAAGTACCAGAGAAGGAAATTCTGTTTTCTAAGCCTCCTTCCTGCTCCCAATGAAAACACCAGGCACTAAAATTAAAACAGTTGAAATTAAAACAGTGCAAATATTTTCCCTATGCCTTTACATCCTGCCTCCTCTTCTATTCTTAAAAGGTAAAACAATTTATCAGAATCGTTACAATACTCATACCCTCCCCTTGCTCTCACTTATAAATCAATGCCTTTGGTCGTGTTTTTTACCTTATGTCAAAACCCAACCCTCACAAGTACAGAGTAAATCATAAATAAATAAACAAAAACAAACAACAACAAAAAAAGCACAACTCAGGACTGCTGACAACATTTCAGATTTACATAAAATAAATGAATATAAATGAATTGAAATGACCAAGACTGTCTTCTAATGAACACGCCAGGAGTTTTTCACATTCTCCTTAAATCAATGCTTGCAGCTTTTTCAAAATTTCTCTACAGTAAGGACTGAAGTGGAAAGACAGGAGAGATGACCTTTCCCAGGCTCAAAATTCAACTCTGGCCTCAGGAAACAATCATACAATGTAACAGTCTCAATAGTAGCATTGCAGAGGGAAAGAAACCACAGGCATAAATACCTAAACTGTATAGTCCTTTAAAACTGAATTGGTATGTCTGAGCTTCACCTATGGTATCCTGGGAGTAACAAACTGACATCAATTGAGCAAGAAAGGTTTGGTGAACTCTATAGAACAAATTAACAGTATTTTACTAAGGCCTGTATGATGTGCTTAGATATGAAATAACAGCTAGGGGAAGAAGAGTTTACCCATCCATAATAAGAAAAACAGAACAATGCTATCTAGTCTACAGGTCCTCCAAGATGAGCTTTGATCGGGGAAAGGATGTCACTGCAAGCTAAAAATGTCATTGTGAAGAAGAAGTCAACACAGCTAAGATCTCTTGAAACCAAGACACTGATCTTTACAAGGCCTGTAAACACAAACTTTGACAGAATACCAGAAACCAGACTTGGGTGCAAATACACTAAAATTACAAACAGAAACAGATAGCAGCGGGAACTGGGCAGCTGCAGGAAAATTACATTCTAGGTATGTACTGAAAAGCAAGTGTTGCTAAAATTGTAGCACCTAATTACTCCTGGATCTTATAGCTGTCAAATTTCTCTACCAAACACTGAAACAAGAGGAACTGATTCTATTTTAGGCTTGTTTTTGTAAGTGAGGCATTACAGAACGACTAGATGTAAAAGTATCAAGAATTCCATGATCACAAGTTTAGTCTGAAATGAATCCAAGAAAAAGGAAAAGTAAGTCTGCTATCAATGTTCACAAACATCAAGAGCTATGTGATCAACTAGCAGAAGCAGTAAGTGAAGCTGACTGCTCTGAAAAGCAGAATATAGAAATTGCATTATCTTTGGTGAGAGAAAGGGAAATGGACCTTTAAGTTATTTCAGTTTATCAAAGGCTGATGGAGCAGTTCATAGATGAAGTTACACATATGGTAGTCAGTGTAATAAACATCCATATAATGGTGAGGCCATATAGTCAAGTAGGAAATACAGATCCTAAAGACAAAAAAATAACAAGTGGTTTTTGCCACTGTAGGTAGGACCATTTGACCTCAAGAGTAGAAAAGGTCTTTAAAACAATTTGTAAACTGGAAGATCAGGAGGGAGATCGAATATCCAGATTATGGGACAAATGTAGCAATGACCTACTGAAGTCTTGCTGAGTGATCTTCCTCCAGTGAAACCAATTGCATTACTTTTAAAAAAAATTATCGCTTATCTACCAGACATGAGGTAAAGCATTTCATAAAGTGCCAGTGAAAAACTACCATTTAAGAGTACACAAATTGTAAGATAAACAGGAGACAATAAGGAGCTACCAGAAAAGGAGGTGAGAACAGACACTGCTCTATGACAGAACAGAGACTATGCAGGACGGACAAGGAAACAAACCCCATTCCACCAGCATGCACAGAGTGAAGTTTTATCCTTTCAGAAAACTGCCATCTCTATCTCCTTTTGGTGCTTTTCTTCCCCCCAGTTTTCAATCTCTCTCTCTGTGATGGATTTTCCATCACATTACATTCCCCATTCAGCAGAAAGTCACATAAAGTCCAGACTAAAGTCAATATGCCTTGACTGCCCATGCTTTCATGGTTATGCTGAATGCCAAGTGAGAAGAAAGTAGTATCTGTTTTGATAGCTTTCTGCATGAGCCTGTAGCCTCAAGCAAAGAAGTTGCTTTCAGTGCTCACTGAATAAACACTACTGCAGGAGCAGGGATGAGAACAGCCATTACCTACTTCTGCAGAGAGTTGTAGACCCACACAGCTTTCCTGCTTTCCTGTTCACATACTCTGCTATGTACCTTTGAGAAGATCTGCTTTCAGTGTGGAAGCAATACAATAATACTTCCACAGAGATCAAGAAATTCTTACACTAAAAGACCAGTTTACTAGCTGACTTGTTGTCTTTGGTACTACACTTCAGGAATTTGAAAAATACATCTGTGCAATTTCAACTCACACCAACTCTTGGTGCTAACGTACATGAATAGGTAATAACTAAGTGACCACAGCTACTCTAGAATGAAGCTGCAATGAATAACATTTGGGATCTCATCAGTATTTCAAGATCTCATTCAAGTGGGCTGTAGAGGAGGTGTATGGATAACTCATGCCTGGGACACACAGGAGAAAAAAAAACAAACCAAATCAACACAAAACAGCAACAAATTGAATCTTAACAGTCTGGTAGCACAATATCTCCAGTAATTTGACATGCAAAAATGCAAGATAAAAGTTCCTCTTGGAAAGGACAGATAAATAAAAAACACAGCAATAAAACATTTAATGCTATGAACCAACAGTCTTACCGGAAAAGAAGGTGGAAGAAAAACATGTTTGGGAGAGCAGGTCAGCGAACCTACAGCAATCACTGCCTTCACTGGTATGGTTAAAATCTGAGAGACAGAGGGGAGAGAGAGAAAAGAAAAAAAAAAAACACACTAAAACTTTAGGAAAAAACCCATACTTATATTTCAGCCTTTAAAAGGTCTTTTCCACTTTTAAATTGCATAGAATTAACAAAACCCTGAAATTCTACAATCTATGTAGTCTAGGTTTATATACACATTTAAAACATGGAGACGTGAATTAAGATTTTATATTCCTAACAGTGACTCCAGACTGTCAGGAAGCATAACTTTGCTCAGTCACACTTGGCACCAGTCTACATGCAACACAAAAGTACAGTTAAAATACAGTCTCCAATGGGGCACTATATAGGTCTCAACTGAACAGGGCTTATTTTGCTGGAAAACAGAAGGATAACATCTTTAAATGAATATGAGGGAAAATAGCATTTCAGACTTCTCAAAAAGCATCAGAAGTCATGGTAAGATCTTTGGATAGACACAGACTTAGAAAAAGGGGTGTGGAAGGGATGGCAATGAGATCCTTTGTGCTATGAATACAGGTGGAGTAACTTGTAAGAACAAGCAAGAAAATAAAAATGGTTCAGATTTTATAACTGAGGGTCACATACATGTATGAACATACTGGAAAGGCTTAAAGTCTTAGGTAACTGGCAAAAATTCAGAATTTTCCCTTTTTTGTGGCTTCATCAGAACCACAGAGTTAGCTACATCATTTCCTGACTTCATAAGCACGGCGTGTCACTTTCTTTTCAGCATTTATCACCCAAAGATATTATATACAGATTCTATTATCTATTACAGTCTCTTTCTTCTACTAAATAAGTTATTAACAGGAAAGGCATATGAAGGAATTAACTAGCTGTTATTCTCCCCCTTACTCATCTTAGTGTAAGAACTCTGTCTCTTCAACTGTCAGCAAACTGCAATTACTCCAAAATAACTTTCACACTGGGTTTTGTCAGAAGAAACCCCTCCGAAATTCTAGCTCAATTTCAGTAACTGATACTGTACCAAAAAGCATATTGTCAGCATGTTATGCCAAAAGATATATGCATTGATGCTTTGAGGATGTCAAGTCATTGAGAATGGAAGAACCCATACTTCAAAGCATTAGGTCAGATTTAAATTGGTATTTCTGATAGTCAGCTGAAAATCATAATTAACATAATTCTGCATTCCTTTAGAGAAGGAAGCATAAGTAGTATTACTGTCATTAGATGCAAGGCTAACTTGCAGAGATAACTTGACCTCCAGAGGTCCTTTCCAACCTCAACTTCTCCCTGATACTGAAGTCTGTCTGCTAACACAACTTGTAAAACTTCATGCTTAAAAACTGAACACATCATTTGAGCAACTCCCATGAATATATAATAAGTATACCTCATAATCTGTCGTGATTTGTACAGCTCCATCATGAATTCCTTCAAGTTCTTTTGCTATTAGTTTTACTCTAAACACAGCATAATAACCTGATGCTAGTATCACCTGTAAATGGTAGAAAAAGTCATCCATTATAATCCATTAAATGGAAAGAAATTTCACTAAAAAAACATACCAAACATCCTCTTACTTCTTTAAACTGAATCAAAACTCAGCTAAAAAAAACTTTTGGTGCATAAAGAAAAAACCCAAACACCTAGGTTACTAACACAAAAATTATGTATTCCTTGAGATGACACATTCCATTCTTCCCAGACAAATGACAAGCATCATCTGAAGGTACAGAGGTTACTGTTTCTGAAGTTTTCCCTTTCAAAATCTAACCAATCTGAACATAACACTGCTTCTTAAAATAAATTTTAAAAATTCTACATGATTTAGTATATTCAGGCAGAAATTAAGAATTCTTATCCTGCCTCCTCCCTGCTAAAATGAAACTGCAAGAAATTGCACAGATCTGCCTCGCTCCCCCCCCAGCATCCAGCAATGGATTCAAAGAATGACTTACTGAGGACTGGTCGGACGCAGCAGCTTTTTGTAGTTCATGGTGGTTTGCAATTATCGTTGTTCTGTTTCCCTTTTCAGTTGTTACAAGTTCTATGGCCAAACCATCCCCTATAATATGCCAACTTTTTATAGCCAGCTTAAAAAGAACAAAAGGTATCATTTTCACTAACGCTGATGTAATTTTTTCTAAAAGGCAAACTAAAAATAAATCCATCCTTACCTCTATCGGATTGCTGTTGATGACTGCAAATAAAATGCTGGTAGCTTCTGTTGCACTCAGTATGCCAAAATCTATATATCGTTCCTCAGTTTTTGGAGGCAGTACAAAGTACTAGAAAGATTGACAAAGGTATTTCAGCATAAGTTAGATATGAGGCGTGCTCAAACTCTAAGCTTATTAACAAATGCATTAATAAGTCTAGTACAGCAGTACCATGACAAATTCAAAATTGTATACATTTCCCATGTAAAATTAAAGGGAACAGAAAAGAATTTTTCAGGAGTAACTGAAGCTGTGTAAGGAAAGAACTGGTAAAAGCATTTTGAAATTCAAAAATCCATCCTCCCATAGAAGTTTAATAAAGAATTAAAAACAGTCCTATGCAGTCTGACTCTAATAAGACTGAAGTAGCTTAAAAAAGGGAAAATACTTACATCTAAAAATCCTGTGTATGCTCGGACAGGTAGGTGAAATTTAGAAGCATTGGTGATAAGTAAAATATTATTATCTATATGAACAGATGATGTGGAAGGCATAAAATGAAGTGTAAAAATATATCTGGATTCATTAGGCGGAATTAAGACTGGTTTACTGAAGTTCTGGACCTAGATCAGTGAACAATGAAGATCAATGTTACAATTTAACAAAGAGCATCACATTTAAACGTTTACTATTAGGTCAAAGTGTTCATTGAATGAGGCTTACTTTAAACATTGGTTTTGCTTCTTCTGGTAACACGACATCATGTATAAGGACTGCAAAACTGAACGTGTTTGTTAGATAGATCAGTCTTTCCACCGAATCAGCAGCACTGTCACGGATGTGGAAGAGTGTGGCAGCATGATCAAATCCTAAGTATCTATTAAAAGAAAACAGTGTGAGAAAAATAAAAACTTTCCTGAAACAAAGCGTTTTTCTTACATGAAAGACTAGAATTCATTCAATCCAACAGTACAAAGGTACATATCCCACTGCATGCTGAAACTATATTATCAGTAATACAGGGACATTAATAATGAAGTAATTCAAATAAGGTAAGAAAATAATAATAATGTAAATCAGCATACGAGGAGGACTAAAAGGAAGTGTTGAATTATTCAGATAGTTAGCAAATCATGCATATTCTCTATTAGCTAAAACAGGCATCTGCAGCACAAACTGTAAGGTTTAGTTTGTCTTCCTTTAAAATACTGTGTCAATTGTGTTGATAAAGTAGCATTTAATTTCAACAGTAATTTTGGTGATAATCAAGCCATACTTTGTAAATAAAGAGAAAAAAAAAAATTAGGAACCACTGAGAAATTCTTTCAAAGTTTGGCTTAAAAGCAAAAGTGTTTTCTCTTCCCTTACCTCATATAGGGATAGAACAGCAAATGTGAAACTGGAAAAATTTCCAATGCTGCATTCTTAAAATGTCTCATCTGCAGCTTTCAACTGCTCTGAAAAACTTCTCACTAAGGTCACTTTGAACTCAAGCCTTGAAACCAGTTTATACATTACTAAGACTACCTCATCTACTACTTTAAACCAGAAAAGAAGAAGAAAAAAAAAAAATCAAACGAGTAATTGCAGTTCTAAATGTGCTCGATATTCAGAAAACTTTGGTATCATCTCCTCCTAAAAAGCCTGAACTCCCTGCTACATCAGCTAAATTACAGCATTTAGTTTTAAACTAGGTTCAATTACTGTAAGCTTACCCATCTAAAACTTCTGCTTGATAGGGTATTTCAAGTTTGGAGTAGCTCTTCTCTTTCGCTTTAACAGTTATTTTCCCAGAAGACTGTGATGCTTTTTTTGCTTTTGATGCTGCATACACAAAAATGTAATAAGTTTGTTAAAGCAGACAAAAAAAAAAAAAAAAAAATCCATTACATTAGACTAGTATGAGTGGAAGACTAAAAGCACAGAGCTAGCCCAGAGATGAAGTATCACAGAAGAGAAAGATGGATCTTAAGGAAATTTCAATAAGCAACCAAGTGGAGTAAGTCTAGGAGGTAAAAGATCTGCATTCTGAATTCCTTCCCCTTAACACCAGTTAGTTGACCTGCCTGAGTTAGGAAGCTTACCTACAATAAGTAAGCCTGGTTATTTCTGTCAAATAAATAAATGTGGACCTGTCCAGAGAATAATTCAGATCTCGGCTGAGCTGAACTTGCCACGTAAGAGTATGGAATACACTTATCCCCCCACTGACCGAAGAGAAACTGGAGATGACTGGGCTCCTCACTTAGAACCACCAGTCTGACAGGAATTTAGCACAGTAATGCAGTAACAATTTAATAACGAGGAAACTGATGACATGCTAAACTTTACAGAAATAGAATCAGAATCCATGAAAGAACCCACACTACACAAGCACCAAGAATGATGCTCACAGGTCTGCTCCAAGACCACAGAACAAGCAATGTTAGCCTGGTGGCAAGGTCGCCAGAAAAGTCAAGAGATTCAAATACTAGTTAGAAGAAACCATCAGCCTCTAAACCCCTGGCATGTATTAGGACAGCTGAACTAGCAAACGTTTAGGGCTGGCTGCTTCACTGAAAGGAATTCACCACGTCAATCCCTTAAACACATTAAACAGCTTGACTGGGTATTTTTCCCCAACTATCATTCCTTCCAATATCTACCATAACTTAGTCAGGAACACACCTCACTCATCTTACATGCCACATTAAGCTGTGAAATTTCTCAATATCAATAAATAACAATAATAAAAATGAATTCTCTCTATCCATACAACTTCTAAAATGTTGTCTACCCGAAATTAAAAACACTACATCTATAAACTTCTGTTTTTACACAAAACAGGTGGACTTACAGCACCAATCACCTTAAAGCAGGAACATCTCAGTAGCTCAACAGCATTCTGACAGTTGATTAAAATCTGTATAAAAATGGAAGTGCCTTTCTACAAAATGTTGTAGTATTTACAGTCACACTATGTAGGAGGAAAATGACCCAACACTTCTTTCATAAAGATACAAACGAAAGTCAGTATCAGCAGACCTATCTATGTATGAAAGGTACCAGGTTTTTCCACCTTGACCTCCCTTTTTCTTTCATATGAATTCAAGACAGAATGATAAAATAAGCCAACTTTCACAGTAAGGTTCTCAAGACAGAATTTTTTTGTTAGAAATTTTTTTTAGCAATAAGATTTTTTAATTCTTTTATAAACTTTGGAAAGGTCTAAGGAGAATCCAAGGGATATACTCTCCTCAAACACACATTACTGTGAGGAACATGTCCTGATTTGTTAGGATTTCTCAAAAACAAATGCTTAGACTAACGATACATTTTAGATAAGTGTCTTAAGAATACTGCTTATATTTAATGGAATAATTAAGATTACTTCTTTTCTCACCAGTATTGATCATACTACATCAGAGAAAACTCCTTCAGAAATAACTGAAATTAGAAGAACTGTAAGCCTATTCCAGGTAGGAAAATTTCATTTCCTTCTCAAAATTACAAATAACATTTTGTTAAGAGTGAAAATAACTCACGAAGTTTCAGCAAGTCTTAAGAAGCACTTGACAAGTTCTAAGAAGAGAGAAGCAGTACTTACCATCAAAGCTAATACTTGCAACTTTGGTATATTTACTTTCAGAGGCTTTTAACGTAACTGGCTTGAAATGTACTGTGATAGCTTCGTTCTGTGGTGTAGGCCTAACACTCTGCAAACAATCAAAATATGAAGCACCTGTAAATTCACCATTGTTAACACACCGTGCAGCCTTCATGTATCCTTCAGATTTACACAGCTACAACCAGTTTTGGCTGACTTCTCACACATCTGTCTTTTCTATAACAAAGCAGCATTGGTAGGTTTAGAATTTTTTCAAGTCCTGCAAATTAGTCAGTGGGCAACAGAGATGTCTCTTTGGGAATGCTGGATGAAGTGACAGTATGGCCAGAAACATGTTAAGAAAACAGAAAATAAGCTTTATTTAAATTAATAGTTATTCCTAATGCTGTAGGGTCACAAAAGCTGGACTATTTGCTTCAGGTGCACTCTTTAACAAAGCTGGTAACTCACTTGTGTAATTGCTGACAATAACACAGACAACTATCTTGTCTCAAAAAAATCCCAAACAAACCACCAAAAACAAAACACACAAACAAACAAAAATCCACCAAAAAAACCCCACCTCTACAGAGAACAGTTGTTTAGCTCTGAGCTGACACTCACTCTACACCAACACTTTAAAACATCCCCTTTTTGTATCTGAGGATTACCGTTTTAAACTAAGTGCGAAAAATAAATTGGGAATTACCGAAATAGCAATTGTGTCAGTTATTAGCCAGAGCTGATTTGTACAGATACTCCTTGCTACACAGCAGCATTATGTATTCCATGGCAACATCTGAAGACTCTGTAAAGACTGCTAGCAAAGTCTTCATCAAGATTCCATGGAGAGAAACCAGGCATGGAGCATTTAAATGCTCTTATTCTTGTTTTGCTTAAAATTAGGATGTCTGCCATGATTCCTCCTTCCCAGCTGTCTTCTCCTGCTGTAAGAACAGCTCAGCTGCTCATATAGCAGCTGTTAAGCTACTGCAAATTACAGGATGCTGTATAAAGGAAACTGAAATAAGTGCCAGTTTACCTTATGCTGGGCTACAGAGGTTTAGCACCTGCTTCATGAGCAGCTGAGCCTTTCTTGGTCAGAGAGGAGCAAGGCAGACAGCTAGTGGTACAAACCAATAACAGTTCTTCCAAGATAAGCTGTCCTTGATTGTAAATTAAAGCCATAAAATCGTGCATACATAAGTGAGTTCTGCAGACCATTTGATCCTTAGAGGAAACATGCAGCACTGCTCCTGCACCTAATGGATAATCTCTGTCAATTCAACTGGAAGCTTTGCATTTTCAATTTATAGTACTGACCTTTGTCAACCACCTGCATGCACATGGTGCAGATATTTGCTATTTCCCTTTACAAGCCAATTTGTAATTGGCACAGTCTTCTTCTAATGAAGACCATGCTACAAAACCGAGATCTTAAAGTGTCTTTAAAAAAACGCAACTCTTAAGCAGACAAAAACAAAGCTGTTATCAAGTTCACAACTTTTGCATGGCAGAAAGGGCGAGCAAAATGCTGGTTTTCTAATTATTGAAGCTTTTAAGTTATGCTGATTTAATTTAGTAAATCAAATTGAAAACATTCAAAAGGACAGCCTGATCCCAGAAAAATGGTGGGTTCCAGAGCTGTATCTCTTAAACCTCAAGTGTAACAAGCCTAGATATATTTACTCAAAATGTCTACAGCTAATGAATTTAAAGAAGAAATTTACACTGTTTTGTTCAAAATGTTTGTCATTTGTTGCTTGTTTACATTTATAAAAGGAAATACAGAATTAATACAACTAAAGGAAAAACAAACACCCTTAAGAATTCTTTCAACTTAATCTTCCTCAAATGAAGCCCAAGCAAAATTTGTCCTCAGGTGTGCTGTAATAATCATCAAATATAAACAGATCATGAGAATACATGCAAAACAAGTTCCACCAAGAGGCTAATACCACCAATTTTCTCAGAAAATCTTCTAACAGTGACTTCTGTGGGGAAGAATAATTTAAAATAGGTACACTTCAGTAACACATGGCTTTCTGACAGAGTGCCCCAGCCAAGATTCATGACCCTGCTGTATGAAGATACATTCAATATTTACTGTAAAGCAGAACATAAGAACTTTAAATGTTCTAGAGACCACAGAAGGGTAAAGAAAGTTCTGTGCTATTGCAGCATTTATTGGGGAAGACTTTGAAGTTTCACAGACTATCAGACAACACCTATTCTAACAACCTAAAGAGAAATGTATGAGTTGAAACACTGGCACCTGTTCATCCATACTGTTTACCTGCCCGTGAGCTCCTGAACATAGTTTTGTCTCGTCCACCTAGCATATTGCTCTGAAGGCTGAGCAGGCTCTAGACTTTTGCTTACAGAAAGTAAAGGCACAGCTACCCTGCTGTGACCACAGGCAGCAGACTAAGACTGGTTCCATTAGTGTCAGAATCACCTCTGTACTGTTCTATTTGCCTTTACAGACAATTATTTTGTAATAACTTGGCCTTCAATTTAAAAAAGGACACATCTAACTGACTGAAGTTTGCTTTAACCACAATGCACCATCCAGAACAACCATGGAATAAACTACTGCTAGACTTTAATCCTTTAAGGTAACTTTTCCTTCATAACTCTGAGGTGTGCTGAAGACTCAAAACATAATAGAGAAGTAAACTACTTCTCACAGGTTGATAAGAGAAATTCACTCTAAAGTATATGAATTGTGACAGAAGTAAGTAAATACTTCCTTATACAACCACTCTTACTTTCAAACCGATAGAATTTAGTTTCCCTGTACAGCTGTCCTGAAGTTCCTGGTCCTTTATGTGTCAAACACCATCAGGATTTCACATTTTAATGTGCCTTTGCTTCCTGCAATCAAATGGGCTTAAATTGCCTTAAGAAAACAAAATTTTCGTTCTAGAGAAATGCAAAAAGAAAGTTTTCAAGAATTTATTAGATTTTTGACAGCATGACTTAATTGTTTGACAGCATGACAACAGTTCATCCAGTCATGAAATAAACATGACTCTCCCTAATAATGGAGAAAACCCTATAAAATTTAATTAAGGAAGTTTTTATAAACAGTTTTAGAAGTCAAAGTCAAGTGACTTGCTCTAACTTTCCTCAACCAATTTGATGGACCACAGCATGACTAAGTACTTAAAGGCAGAACAACGACAACTCTGGCAACAGTATCAGCAGTCCCTCATGCACAGATGACCTGAAGGTATCTTAGTCCCTCTGGCATCCATCTTAAATATTTGCTAAATATAGCCTTGGCCTTTTCTTCTGACATTAAGATAAAATTTGTCACAGAGCTCTGTCTCACTGCTTTTAAAGCCTAGCTCTAGAGTCAGAAATCCACTTCTCAAGCTTTCCTGGAAGTAAGCTATTCACCAGGTTCCTTCCAAAAACTCTTTACTCTGGCTTACCACTTTGAAATTCCTTGAATGGCCAAGCAGCAGAAACTCACACAGTGCATCAAATGGTAGAAAGGTTATAAACTTTACAACAAAGTTGTGCCTTAATGAGAACAACTGATTTGATATGCTGTATGTGACACACTAAAAAATACATCATATGTGTTCCTATGTGGTAACTTTATCATTGCGAAAGTGCGTCCTAAAAGATTTAAGACCACCAAATATAATGCTTTGGTACTAAAAGAATAATTCATCTGGAAAAGTTCTGTCATGGTATATATAATGGTTATCAAATGATAGCCTTTCATTACACTACAGTTGTCTACAGTCTACAGTCCAAAGAACACAGCTTAAAGAAACCCAGATACGTTTTTTTTTTAACGGAAGAATACATTTGGTACTATGTTCTCCTAGCAGATACTGGTGATACTGGTGTTTTGAATATACAGCTATTTGCATCGTACTCACAAAATATATTAACACACTTAAAAAAAAAACGACACAACAACAACAAAAAAACCCTCACACACACACACAAAAAGAAAAAAAAAAAAAAAAACACCAAAATAAGCCACAACCCACAAAAAACTGTCCCTGTGCCAAAATCTTAACATATCTAAGATGACATAAGACAGCAGAAATAGATGGAAAAATAATCTAATAAACTTTACCAACCCTCTGTTTATAAAAATCATATACAGGGTCTTTTCTTAAATAAAACCCTCCATGAAAGCTGGTTCATAGCTTACAAGGCCATGAGGGACCTTATAGGATCATCTGACCTCATTAATGTAATAAGCATTAGAACTTCAATGAATCAAATTTTGTTTGCACTACACTGCAAGTTTCTCTTGACTTGAAAATTATTAGCAAATAACTTAGGAAGCATTGCAATGGACTACTGTTATAGTGGAAAGTTATTCTTGTTACTAAAAATGTCTCCTCTAGTCTCAGTTTACACTATCTTAAGTTTTTGTTAGACTTCTAGCATTAAAACACTATTCCTTTCAGTTACAGCTCTAAGCTTTAAAAACACAGAAATGCTCTCCAAGAGCTCAGTAAAAAACCTCTGCCAATCCCCCAGTCATTCTTCTGGCTCCTTTGGTTTCTTTTCAACACTTCTTGAAGTGCACTGGGACATGGTATAGCTTCCTATACAACTAAATGTGGAAAACAAGGAAGGCAGAAAGGGGAGAAGGAAGAAATGAGAAAAATAGTGGGCGATGAGAAAAATTACACAGAAATATGAATGAATGTGGACTACCAGACTAGAGCCAAAATTCTGTAATGAAAATAGAAAAGAAGAAAATCCAGAACCTGGAATTCTGAAGTTGGCTGCATTTTACATGCAGCTGCAGTGATCTCACTGGAAAGGGCTCTAGAGTGCTTGCAGGCTTTTTTCTTATTTCAAGCTACAAAGCTCAAGAAAACAAGGGTCATTTTACAGTCTGCTCTTGAATGCTACTCTCTGCTCATCTAAAAGGATTACACTGGGCAACCACTTTATACACTCCCATGAAGTGTGTGATGAGGACAAAGAGTCCCACAGACTCGGCATTAGTCTCTCGTTCACTGAACAGGAGTTACTGTTCTCAAGCACAAAAGCTTCCAGAGGCTCAGATACTGCAGGCACAGTCTATAAATGCTCAAACAGCCATTCAAAGAAGGCCACAAGGCAAATAAATTTTACCATGTATACAGATTATTTGTTTTACTATTAAGTTATGTTTTCAGTCACACATCACCTAGCCTCTAATTCTGAACACTAGATGGTGAACCTGCGAATGATCAATTTTTATGGGAGAAAGTAAATCCAAGTAGAAAGTTTCAAATTGAAAGTAAATAAAACTTACTGTAATTGGCACATCTTTTGTTCCTGAATTTAATAAATGCAGATTTAAAGTTTTTGGCAGATCTGTTAAAGAACAAAAAACACACCTGTCTATTAGGCTATTTTAACATAAGACCCTTATACAAAGTCATCTGCCCTAGCTTATTTCTCTTATAAATCCACTGTTTTTCAGTTTTAAAAAGTTAGATTAACATGACAGTACAGCCAGTCAAAATAGCTAGTCCCAAGAATCTGACACACTTAAAAACTGGATTTTTGTGTATTAGTAGGTATTACATGCTTCAGCTAACCACTTGTATTTCACATTACAAAATGAACAGGTTAAAACAGTGCAATGAATTATTTTTTCCTGATGCACCAATATTCAGCAGAAACTAATCTTATTTCAAAATCTTTACATGTTCAATAAGTTGCAAGGAAAAGTCCTTCAGAAGCTATCTTTTTTTCAGCTTCAAAAGATATATACTGGTTTTCTTCAGTAATGAGTTCCTTTTACAGTTTCAAAAGATACCCTCAGTTTTACTACTTTCTACCATATATAGAGAGAGATAAATTTCACTAGACAATATTAATTCACAATGTAAAATGTTAGGCACAAATATGTAAGTGGCACTTAAAAAAAAAAAAGATTATAAGTAACAAATCTGATTAAGCTTGCACATTTTCACTACTCCCTATGTCTGCAAATTATTAAAACTTAGGCAGATATAAAGCAAACTTTCAAAACAAGTTCACAAATTAAGTAAACTAACAATGCATTTCAGACTAAGGCTAATGTTATTACCAAACTTATAACTCTATGTGCAAATCACTCTTTGCTTGGACACATCTCAAGTACACTTTCAGGTGAATGCATTTGTGCAGTCATAACACATTTTTTTATCCTGCTTTTGAGACTGCCTTTTAAAAAGCATCACTCCACAAGCAACCCTGAATAGTACAAAGGCAACTGGGCTTTCCCCACACCACTCTACTCTCTATAATATACTTTGAGACCTGAAGTATAGTTTACCTTGCGTTCGTAGTGTACCAAAATCTAGCATTTCTGTTGATGAGTAGATTCCTGGTGCTTCAAAGGAAAAAAAAAAAAAAAAAAGGCAAGTTACCATTTTCTAATTATACTAAAAGTTAATTAAGTTGGTTAAGTTAAAAACAAAACCAAACCACAAAAAACAACCCGTTTTCTACAAACCTGTTGTAACTTCTACTTCAACGGGGAGAATAATAAATTCTGTGTTGTCTGAGGCATTTGTTTTTATTCTAATGAAGGCTGTATGATTATCTGCTTCTCTTGAAGAAAAGCTGGCTCTCATCACTCCTTTTGTTTCATAGGGAGGTATTTCCTGGTAAATAATCAAAGTGCATCTATGAGAGTGCAGTAACTAAAAAAACAGCCACACTAAAAAATTACAATAGAAGTATTAAGTGTAATTGTATTAAGAGAAAAAGCTGCAGTAGTAGTAAGAGATAGGTTGCATGTTTTTAAAACCACTGTTAAATTTAGTAAGAATAGTTGTAATCATCTAATATGGCACTGATTGAAAATAGGTATATGCAAGAAGGCTTCCACATCCCATTCAACTGCATTTCATGTATTAGATTTGTGGTAAGAAGACAGAAACATTTAGAATATGCAAAACCAGTGTTTGATGCTACTGCACTCAATTTTTATGAATAGATTTTGTTTATTGATAGATTCTGTCAATTTAATTTACTTTCTCCAAAGCAGACTAGTTTCAGTGCTAAACACAAATTGAAACAGTGCAGAACTGCAACTAGCCAGAAGCTTGTGGAGCTGCAGATTCATTAGTCACCAAGAAATTTACAGCAAAAAGTCAAAGTGTTTTAGTTTCTGCACCAAGCCTGTCCCATCAGTCCCAGTCTGCATTCAGGGTTTCAAAGACAATGCTTTCTGTATTTGCTGGACACAACTGCAGCACAAGATGAGTTTCAGAACCATAGTTGTTGAAATATGAACATTGAATTCTTCCCCATCACATTATTGAAGGGCTGGATAACTGAGGGTTTTTTTTGGGTGGGTTTTGGGTTTTTTGGTGTTGTTTGCTTGTTTTGGTGTGGAGTTTTGTATGTGTGCGTGTTTGTTTTTTAAATAGAAGTTGAAAACTGTGACTTGAAATTCGGCACTTCTTCCTCTTTAACCATAAAGAAATATGGCAGAAAGTAGGAATTTTTGAGTAATCCTTGTATCAATTCACATTATTTTAGTTGACAGATCTTTCTTTTGTGGTTTTGATGAAGGTAACTGGACAGGACGAAATCCATACAGGTGCTGATTCTGTTCTCTCTCTCTCCTGTGCTTTCTGTAGTGCAAACTCATTCCAATCCATTCTGAAGGTCAAGCCACAGCTTTTATGGCAGAGTGACTGTAGACGTGTTCTTTGATAGCTGTTGAATATCCAAGTAACTAGTTTCAACTGCTACTACTTGGCAAGTCCCTAAACTAAGAAGCTTCCAAGTTCTGTTTCTGCACTTATTCAGAGACCTAACGTAACGCAGCTGTTCACTGATCTTTCAAAGCTTATGATTCCCCTCTTCCATGTTTGTCACCAGGGACCCACGGTTTGTTAGATTCATAAAGTAACTCTGGACAACAATTACAAAAGTACTCCTGCATATGCAGACTGCTTCATCCAACCATCCACATATTTGGCACCAAAACAACTGTAGACAATGATGTACATCCATATGTCAAAGTACCATCATTATATTTCAAACAATTTCTTCTCCTTTGCAGCTTTTTCTAACTGCAGTGCAGATCTTGACACAGCCAATATAATGACATATCTGAGTGTGTTCTGCTACTGGTTTCATTTCTTCTAGTTGCGTTATTGTTTTGAAATACCAATAGTTAAGAAAAAACAGAGGATTAGTGCTGACTAGTACTAACTCAGCTGCCTTTCCACACAATACTGTGGAACCTTTCACATGCATGTCATCACTGCTTTAGCTGGCAACCTGGCCTAGAGAAGATGAAAAGTTACACGTTCTAAAGAGCTACCTGCACAAACGCAGAACTAGAAATAAACCAGACATTTAAAAATCATCTACTCTTTTTTTATGTTCATTACATACTAATGACTACTGAATTCAACATTCACCTTGAGCTCTTTTGACAACAAGCAAGGAAGGGGCTATCTTTAGAATCAATGACTAAAATGGTGTCAAAAAAATTTAAAGTCCATTTTAATGCTTATATCTTAGCCTCAGCATCTGCTTACTCTTTCCACCACAGTTTTCAAAAACGCTTGTGATCTGTGTCGATACCCACTTGTTTGTAACTTTTGTATCTGAAACTAAGATACTGCCATTCTCACAGACTTTCTCTAGAGAAGTCAGGAGTTAAGTTTTGTGACTGTTCTTCCTAATTCACTTGGAAATACCCTGGCTTTCCTCATTACAACAGATATAAATGTCAGTGACTGTTATGATACACTGGAGCAAGAGACAAGCTTTGAAGGACGTGTTACTTCAAAACTACATTCAGAAACACAACAAAACAGACTTAGTGGGCCAGACCATGGGTCCATCCATACCACTACTCCAGCACCAGAAATGAAGAATAAAGAGTAACTGCAGGATGTGCAGATAGGAATATTTTCCAGAAGAGTTTCCAGCCACTCTTGACTCACAATCTGAAGATTTATTGCAACTAGACACATTTCTGCTTTATTTAATAGTTGTTGATAGGTGGTTCTTCCCCAAGTTTGTTCAGCTGCTTTTTCAATCCACGTATGCATTCATAGTGATTTGAAGGAAGGACTTTCTCAGGTTTTTTTTGTTTCTTTGTTTGGGTTTTTTTTGTTTGTTTGTTTGGGGTTTTTTTGTTTGTTTGTTTGGGTTTTTTTTTTGTTTGGTTGTTTTGTTTTGTTTTGTTTTTTTTTAATTAAAACTAAAATTCCATCTCTTATTCCTGTGAGTTAGATCCAGCTTCCAGGTCATCAGAAGGACTACATTGTCCTGAACGCTTAGGTAGGTATAATTCGTTCTACTGCAAACTATCTTATACCTCTGATTTCAGAAAAAAGCACAGCTCAATAGAGATGATCTCTTTTAATTAAAACTTTCCTTCAATTCATATTACCATAAAATTAAAAGACCCTGTTATAATTTCAATTTCATGAGGTATTTTCAACAATTAAATGAAAAGAAACAAGTTTGGTAAAAAAAGGCCAAAAACTAAAATCGTCTCAAAATAAAACCTCTCCAAACAAGTACACTGAATATTTCAAGACATGACTACTCACCCACAGCTTCTTTGTACCACCTTGCTGACCTGTTGGAAGCTCTAAATGGAGATCACCTCCACTGGAATACATTTCTACCACCTGAGGTATATAACAAGAAAATGTTAATACAGCTTTAAAGGGAGACATTTATTTATCAGGTATTATAATATGCAACGGCATGGGCTACATGACAAAGAAGTTTAATTCTCTATTTTGCAGTAATTACAACCATTTTAAAAATTGAAATCTCACTGTAAAACTTCCGTTTAGCAAATTAAGAGATCTCTGTGCATAATCTACAATTTATAGAACGACTGATGATCATTTAAGCATAAAATTGTTTATAAATATGACTTTGCCTCAAATAGCTTTAAAGTTTGAATAGAATTTTAAGAAGTACCAAAATTTCTCTTTAATATTATAAACATAAATGAGCATTTAATGGTTTTCTCTTAGGCTTACCTGCAAAGGTTCACTGTGAGGGTTATGTATATTTATTATAGGAGAAAAACTGCTATTTACAGGAACTCGAGCCCCAATAAATGGGCGCAATCGATATGGGTTTGGTACTCCAATGCCAAACACCTGGTGCACAAAAAGAAAAAAAAACACCTTAAGTAGCTGCATGTAACTGTTGCCTTACATGTACATGCCAACTTTAGTCATTTACCAAGTACTCTTTTAAATTAATTTTATCGTATACTTTCAAGCAAACATTTAAACCCAGTATCATGCTAAAACACTGAAATGAATAAACTGGTTTAATCTAAAGCTAAGAGGTATTTCTCATAGCTATGACTCACACTGACAAATTTAGAACACAGGAAGTCAAAATAACATCTTTTTTTTCCGATATTCAGAAACACTACATACAAGCTAAAAGTTAAAAAAAATATTCTTTAATCAGACCATTCAGGAACAGGCTATCTGTATGGGAAGTATTTTTGATGTTGTTTTCAAAACATTACCATGGTAATTCACACTTCACAACTTTTTCTGAAAGAGGGTAATTCTCTTACCTGATAAGTAAATACCCCATGATTAGAAGTGTTAATAAATAAAGTGTTCTCTACATTTCCCACTACTCTTGCAAGGAAAACTACGTCGAAGGACGTATTCCCTCCTGGAAGAATTTTCTGGAAAAAATTTAAAAAAAGCAAGCAAAAGAATAAGCAAAATTTATTCTTATCTTATCGAAGACATTCCACCCTGCAGATGAACAATAGTTTTTGTGCTACAGAAGGTGTCTGTGTGTTCTAACGGAAAACTGAAGTTAGAAGGTCTACTGCAGATTTGGAGGTGGGAAAAAAAAAAGATTAGAGGTTTTAAACAAAAATGTGTAACAAAACACTAAAATACCTAATATTTTTCAGTCATAATCTAGTTCATGATCATATTTGATGGAATTTGAATGCTGAATTCAGAACTTCAGAGTTCAGCTTATCATAGAAATATTTTGGACTGACAATTTAGAGAACAGCAGAGGAAGGTAATTACTAGAGGAATTCCATAAGTGGCAAGGTTGCCTATAGACAGGTTCTCTGAAGTTTTTAGTGTCTACATGGCCCCTGCTAAGCCACAGGCCCTGCAGACAAAACTGAAACTAGAAGACAATTCCAAAAGCAATGTGGTTATGAGTTAACCCTGCTGACACCATGTTTTTTAGCACGCAAATTCCTGTAGCATGATTGCAGTAGTTTTAAGTGCATTTGAGTGACTGCTTTGCACCAATACTGCTTCACTGGACCTATAATTTTCAGAAAAAATTACAAAAACAGCTTGTTCCTCTATGTGCTGTAAGGCCATGTACACTTGTCACTTCAGAAACAAGGGAGATCTGCTGCTAAACCCTTGGTTACAATTTGCACTTCCAATGTATTCAGAAGTCCTATCCATTATTTCACTCCTCTTCTAGCAGGGTTTCTGTGTCTCTTTGCTCAGCTCAAATTTGCTTGGTAACTGATACGAGATCAAAAACTGCAGTATCTTAATTCTTTTAGATATGTAATTATTGCAGTAAGTAGCTCATTTAAAGAAGGGAGGGAAATCAAGCTCCCATTCAGAGTGGGAAAAGGGAAGAAAGCAAGCTTATTTTGAGAAAGTAGAATAACTTACCCTATTTTGAAAAAATGATGCATGAAAATGTGATGTTGTAGCAGATATTGATATTAATGTAATTGTTTCTTCTGAGCTAGGGTTATGTAGGTAAACTTTTTCCATTTTTGGCATTCCAACGGGCCTGTCAAAACAGAGATAGTATTTTTAGTGTTAGAATTCTAAAAAAATAGAACACTAGGCTTTGTCCCATTGAAGCAGAAAGGAACATGACAGCGATGAACCCTGACAATAGAATTTGCATTACATGTTGTTTTTTTTTTTTCAATTAACATTTATAAATACTACCTTGAGGAATTACTTAGTTAACGTCTTTTTCATTATTTTATTGGCTACTTTCCCTGAAGGCTTACCAAACACTGTGTCATCCTCTAAAATGACACTAATCCAAAATGAAATTCTGTTTTTCTGGTTTTTACTTCAGCATCAGAAAAGGCAAAGTTCTGTATTCCTGTGCTAGGCCATCTAAACCTCTAAATAATTAAGAAAGGTTGCATATAGCAACTTAAAATACACAGAATACATCCTAGACAGAAGTTTAAGTACATTTTTTTTTTGCTGATGGATTGCAAGCAGTCTTACCCAGAACCCAGAATTTTTCTAGTATTATGTTTTATGATATGCTCTGCAGAAATAAGTATACAGATATGTGCAGGAACAACTACTTTATCTGTGTATTGCATTTGAACTCATTCCTTATAGAAAAAAAAAATAATCTAGAATTCAAGAATTCCAAAACACAGAATTCAAACAGCTACACAACAGCACACTTTTTTTTTAGTAACAAGACTTGCTAACAATTTATTCCACACAAGCTTTAGGCTTGTTCCTTTTTGCTGATGTGACAATAAATGCTTCAGTTCACCAATTATTTTTTTGGCTTTGGTATCTCTTCAGAATTTTTTTCATTTCTTTTAACACATATTTGAAAACCATCAGCACCAAAGCACTCACAAATCATGTAGATTACAATTAGTTTTGATTTTTTTAACTCAAAATAGTTAACTTCCAGGCTATACATGTACTACGTAGCATTTCCTCCCACGTCACCTGCTCCGAATACTGCAGAGACTGCCAAACTATTGGTAAGAATTACTGCCTCTAGTACCTGGAGTGATGACGACCAACAACGGGCAGTTATTCTGCCAGCCTCAGTTAACTTTAACAGGCTGAATTAATAAGCACTGTTGTAGTTCCATATTTTTTCAACTTTGGGGGAGTGGGGATGGGGAGGGAAGAAGAGTGTGTCTCAATAGATAGGGCAACATAAGCTTGCTGTAACTTAAAGGTCGCATTGAATAGAGGATTTAGTAATGATAAACAACCCATACCACAATTTACAAAGTGGCTGTAGTAACAGATAGAACCTCCTACTTATGAAACATGAGACTAAACAGATACATGCTAAAGACCACGGCATTAATTCAAAGACACAATTATTAACCTTCAATAAGCTGCGTCATCACTACAGTAGAATACATATCTTCACTCTACTACAGTAAATCTCTGCTTTTTTTGCCGAGTCCTCCTAATTTCATATCACCATCAGCAAACACTTGTTCTTGATCCTTCTTTCACTGTCAAAAAATCTCATTTTGCCTTATCAACTGAAGTCATAATGAAGACTACAATTTCTCTCCTCATTACAGTTTTTCACTTGTACAAAGCCTAACATTGAGGATGAACCATAACAAAAGTATTTTTACCTTTTGCCATATACATGGGGATATTAGCAAGAGAAATGGTTTGTCAGCTGTGATGTTTTGCATTAACTGCTGTAACTGCTACATTGTTATCCATAGAATCAAAGAGTGAACCTATACACCAGTTCTCCCTTTGCTAGGGAAAACCTTATCAGACCAGAGGAGCCTGAATGAGAGCCAGCCCTCCAAAGTTCCCCATCTCTACCTCAGCCACAGTGAAAAAAACAATCAACCACAAAAGCACAACTGAGCACAGTGTCTGCAGCCCCTTAATTCTGAACCTACGGCTTCAAACACTCCTTCATTAACATCACTATGTATAGGCTTGAATATTTCATCTGCTTGGTAACTGTGAAAGGCTGCGAGTACAGTTTCTGTATACTTCTCTTCCCCAGTAGCTCTCCAAGAAGGGGAAACCACCTTCCTCCCCTATTACAACACACTCTAACCAGTCTTCACAAGAAGAGCTGGAGAACTGAAAACAAGAATCAAGCAGTTGCTGCCAACTACAACAGCAGAAAGCAAGAGATGAGGTAGATTTTAAGCACTGCATTGTACATGAGCAAGCAACAAGACTAGCATACCACTTGTGAGCTCTCCAGAGAGCTAGCTGGGTGCTGACAAGGTAAGATCAGAGTGACCTAAGTGACACCTTTTATGATGTGTAATGTGTGAACCACCACAAAGGCAAGAAAATTCTCTGGAATGAACGGGTAACACTGAAGTGCCAGCCTCCTCCTGTCAGAAAGGTAGTTTGGAAGTAAAACTCATTATCCCAGTAAATGTTTCAAATATTACCAATCTTTTAAGGCCTTCACACTTTTCCAGTACTGAAGAAAGGGAGATATACAACTGTATATTTGAGAGGCTACAGCCTATAACAACAACTAGTAGGGAAGCAGCTGGGACAGACATCACAGTTCACTCACTTCATATTCCACACTAAGCCACCACAGCATAGTTACAGGGGATACGGGCAGAAGACACTAAAAAGGAATTATGTTGCTAGGACTATATTTTGTTTTACTGTTTTGTTGAACCATTTTGATCTTGAAACAATGAGTCTTGGTATTATATTTTGCTCAGATACAGCTTTCCTTACATTCTTTAAGCTTGATGTTAGCCATATCTACAGAAATAGGATAGACCTTGTCTGTTTTTTTCTGCCATAGAACATGGTGAAATCCACGTATAGCATTATGCACCAGATACCTTTAATGACCTACATCCCCAAGCAATAATCAGAGAGGAGTGCTCTCCAGGCTGCAGATTAACAAGCTGCAATGATCTGCCCAAGTATAGCATTACCTGGTGCCAAATTTTACAGCAGAATTTCCTGGAGCAGTCACAGCTAGCACTTTTCACTGCAAGAAGCTGGTGCAGATGCACACCTTCAGGCAAACACGAACTGCCAAAGCATGTCACATTTTGTTCCTAATCTTCTGTCCCTGCATAACGCTAGGGCCACCTACACTGATTAAAAACTGATACCAAAACCTAGATGAGAAGATGGTAATTAACAAGGGTGAGAAGCCTGTTCAAATGGGTAAACACGCCTGTGTTGATACTCTTCAATGCTGCAACTCAACTCTCCAAAATCTGAGTTAGTATCTGCAATGTATTGTAAGCATGTCCTTGTAAGGGAATTCACTGCTGCTCGAGGGATCAAGACGTACAGTCTCTTAGCAAAGGAAATCAGTTCTTGCAAAAAGCTGGAGATGACTCCTTGAGTGACTGGCTCAAACTTAACTTACAAAAGTACCTAGCTATTCTCTCTGAAGCAACTATGGATTGAGAAAAAGCCCTTTTAAGAGTAATTACATTTTTTCTTATTGCATATAATCTAGACATCTCTGTAAAATGCTTGATTTATGAGAACTGATAGAAATCTATTACTGGAAAGCAAAGGATATAAATTCAGCCAATACATTCTTCCTTTTGCATCTTCTATTCTTTCAAATAAGACCAGAGAGAGAATTAAGCGAACCAAAAGTCTCCCACTTAGATTTTGGAATGCTGGGAATAAAAATAAATATACTCAATATTCATATCAGGTAAACTCCTCATGAGTTTGAGATTTTAACAAATAAGGGATTTTTTTTTCTTTTAGTATCTTTGTCAACTGCTGAAGCAACTCTAAGACTAGTGGTCACACAGAATTATCAGAAGTTTCACGTGGCTTAAATCACTATCCTGTGTCAGACATGAGTGACCAGCAGATGCCGAGAAGGCGATAGTTGTAATAAAGTGGAAAGCATGCAAAGTCAGGTGCCCAGAAAACTCTCCTAGCCTCTAAATATGTGCAGCTTGGGAACTTCCTGAACCAGTGCAGATGGTTCTCCAGTCAGAAGATCAGAGTAAAGAGCACTCCAACAATAAAAACTTGGGGGTTGACTTGTTATGTATGCTGCTACTTTTAAGAAAATGAGCTGGTCTTACAAGTAACCTCTAGAGGCTGAAAGGGAATGCCTTTTGTGCCCCAGCCCAAGGAAAATGCTAGTTCCTTATATGAAAGAAGCCCGTGTGATGTATAAGAGTAGAGGAATAGGGACTATAGCATTCTTCTTGTTTCACATGAAACTGTATCCATCACTGCTTGAGTGACCCAGGCAAGTTGCTTCTTTAACTGAAGTCAGAGTAACTGAAGTATGTAATTTTGAGAATGCAAATGTGTCTCTAACTCAGAAATACAAAAGAAAATAGTAGGGTTTTGTTTTTCTATGCATACTAGCCTACAGATCAATTGTTTCTTCAGACTGCAGACTTCACTGGCTTTTAACAATCAAAAGTGATTTTATATTACAATTAGCAATTGTAATATAAAATAATAATATAAA